AAAAAAAAAAAAGCCAGATGATGATCACCATTACAGGTCTGCTTGCAAGGATAATCATTTATATGAATAAAAGAGAAGCATTTTTTTTTTTTTTAATTTGGGCCATGAAAATAGGCATTTGTTAATCATTTATATTGAAAATTGCATATTTTTAAAAAGAAACTTCAAATGGTACTTTCATCTGCACTAGTTTCAAATTATCAATAAAACAATAACCACTGACCAAAAATACTCCCAGCTTGGACATCAAGGACATGTTAACACGTTACTTGAAAACAATATATAATCAAATTCTTTCAATAGTTTTTAAGAGGCTGCATTTTTTGCTCATTCTGCTTTATTTTCTTTGATTTTGCTGGCAAAAACGTTTATAATATCTCAAGAAAAAAATCTTCCCATTTACCTAAAAGCAAACCCCCTAAGCCTCCCCTCTAACTTCTCTGAATAAGATGTAGAAACCCTTAGGTTTGGAATCACAGACTTGATGTGAAGGAGAAGTAGGATTACAAGGAGAAGGATGTATGATAGCATGAAGCCATGAGCAACCAATTTATAGAGGTGACCTACTTACAAGTGCTTGGGAGTTTCTTCTTCAAAATTCATTGTCAATGTTGCCCACGGCTTTTGTTCGTAGAGTGCCTTCGAAGGAGCTTCTTTCCAGGAGTTGGGTGGTCATTCTACAAGAACATAGTAAATTAATTCAAGAACTGAGGGTCAAGAGCATGCCATTTTCTTTCTGCTTTAATTTTTTTCTATAAGGTCCCCTAGGAAAAGAGGAAAGAGCCACAAATTGGTGAATAAGGAAACAAAATGGTCCAGGTTTCAGCAGTAGAGGGCAACAGACCTTGTATAATGATGCTGCTGACTCAGACTCTACGGTTTGGGCTGGAATTTGCGCCAGGGATTGCAAGGAATCCAGTGCATCCAAAGTTAGTTGCCACCCACAAAGTGCAACGGCATCAGCACTGGTGCTAGAACCAGAACTACTACAGCCAGCAGCAGCAACATTTCCGTTCACCCAGGGGCAGAACTGGTTGTGATGTATTATTGGATCAAATTCTATAGCTTCTTCATAGTTGCTTTCTCCTTTTGGAGGCCCTGAAAATTAGGTTTATTCATTACACATCAACAACACAAAAGAGAAGGAAATTGAAGGCAAAAAGAAATTAAGTACCAAATTAATTCTATTTACTAAAAAATAGAAACAAAAGCCTTTCCAAATTTAAACTGTCAGAATAAATGCGTTGCAACTTGGACTTCCACATTATTAATTCATCTTAAACTTAGACTAAATTTGTACAACTCAGGAAAAGTCAAGAAAGAGGGCAATGTAAATTCCATTTGAGGCAATTCCCTTTTAAGCAGAAAATAGCCTGTTGCTAATTAAGTGATTACAGATTCATCAATTCAAGGAAACATGATGACCATGAAAGATCTAATAATACTTCTTTCCACAGATGAAAGTAGAAGGGTCTTTACAATTGTCAGATAATTCACACAGACTGCCTTTTAGTAGTGGACCAGATTAAGAAATTGTAAAAATAAACTAGACACTGATATGTTGAAAAAGAGGCAAAAAAAAAAAAAAAAAACCAATAGCTCAAGCTGTGCAGGAAAATCACTTAAAAGCTGTCATAATTTCTTAAAAGTACCAAGTAGTGTTAACTGCTATTTATTATTAAACTCAAAAGGTCATGTAAATTATACATTCAGCATTATAGCATGCTTACTTTAAATGTGTTGCAAATCGCATATGAAGCACACATGGAAACATAAACGAGCTAAGTTTGTAGAAGTACTAAATGATAGCTGACATTGCAGTTTTCTGAGGCTTAAACCATAGATGATAATTGTCCAAAAAAACCATAGATGATAGATGTCATGTCTGGGTGTTGGTAAATTAAAATAAAATGGCCTGAAAGTAAACCGAAAACTATTATTACATCTCAGATTTAGTCAATATGACAGACAGAACTTACCCAATCCATTTGCAACAGCATAGTCTGACTCAACGTATGGACTATTGTTTATAGATGATGATTTTCTGACTTCAGTAACCTTTTTCTTATTTGGTTCATAACCTGAGTCAATATTAGCATTACAAGATAGCGAATGGTGAAAATTACTCTCCAGGACTAACTTGCAGCTTTGACTTATCTTTTCATCACTTTCAACAGAATCTGCCTTGGCAGACCCATCAACTTTTGAACCACTGTCAGCCCTCCCGACAGAGCGAGACAACGTCTCCTGGCTGTCACCCTGAGGATCTTCCCTATTTAGTTCACCAGGGACAATCTCATCCATTAACCCAGGATCTGGGGCAGATTCACCTGTTTGACCCTGATTTTCAGCATCCTCAACTCTTGGTTCCACATCACCAACAACACTCTCTGTTCTATGCACAGAAACATCAACCCCATGAATTTCAGCTTCATGGCTGGCACACATACCAACACTTCCCCCACTAATTCCAAAGCTAATCCCATCCCTAGCCTGAGCTGTCACTGTTTCTGCATTGAAAATTTCTTCACCATCATTTGTACTACTGATGCCCATTTCTCCAGGAATTGCTTCAGCAGCTGGTTGGAAACAAATACTCTGCTGAGCTTGATTACTATAATTGAGTTCTGATGTGTCATTCATGTCTACATGACCATACGTACTAGAAGAGGGAAAATGAACATCATCAATATCCCCAGGATGATTTTCAACACTTTCCATAGAGTCATCATCCGCACTATGACACACAGTATCCATGGCTATGACAGATGATGCACGTGTTGAATCCCGAGCAGATGGGATACCTATACAAAGCTCACTTCCCTGCATAAACAAGCCAATTCTGTTGCCATCAGTATGAGTTTCAAATCCCATGGAATGGCTTGGACCAGCACCAGATGAGTCTCTTGGATATGATGAACAGTAAGTATCATAAACATCTGAATCACAAACACGTTTTGAAGGCCCAGCAGAATACTGTCTAGAATCAGTGACTTCATCACCATCACGATCAACAACAGTTCCTTCAACACTATCAGCCTGCTGTATCTGTAACTGAGGCCTGCCATCGGAGCTGGCACCTAATTCCAAGCTTCGTTTACGATGACTAGGACCTCGTGATTCATAAGAAGCTGCTCGATCACCAACTTCACTGCCTGATGGTTGCCCTATCATTAGATCCCGCCCCATGTCCAAATCATGCATATTTTTGGATGTTGCAGACCTACCAAAGTGAGTAGAAGACAGACCCCCTGCCATTGTGAGATTCAAATCAACATCTGTTTTTTGCATTGATTTCCCCTTATCAGTTGTTGCAACTTCATCGCGATCTTCGGCCTGTTCTTTCTCAAGATCATCAGCAGCAACCCAACCACTAATTCCACTGGCTGCACTTACACCACGTGTCAATCCCATTTTTTTGCTCGCCCCATGAATATCAATATTGCTGGGAGCAAAACGAGAAGGTTGAGGAACAGTTAAGAAATCCAATATCCTGACAGTAGCACCACACAAGCTACAGTCTAACAAAGGTAATCTGAATTCAGGTCTAGACTCCATAACTAATTCTTTATTTTTTCCAGTGTCCTTTCTAGCTGAAGCAGAGAGTGAATTTTTGCTTGGTCCAGGTCCAGGGTCCTGTGTGCAATGCGCCTGGGCTGTGGTAGGGCCAAAAGAATGTCCATTTCTAGCTGATTGTGCAGAATGCTCTTCACAGTCTTGAACATTAGGAAGCCATCTTGGTTCCCATCCACACAAACTTATAAGCTTTTGTGACTGAAAAACAGAAGAAGAAGAAGGGGAAGATACAAAACAAAATAAGAAAAGACGTAGATTTTTTTTTTTTTTTTTGGCCAAACACTGATCAAGAACACAAGTAGATAGCTGATTAGAAAGTATATATTATAGCCAAAAACCAAATACGAAAATATCTTACACGAGAATATAGACAGAATGGGCCATCCCTAGAGTATTCAAGTTCTGGCATATTCTCTGATCTCCATTCTACTTCTATTGCAAAATTCTGGGGCTGTGACAGAAAGCGATCAATCTGTGGACTCCAAGACACCCGCATCTGCTCAATTGCAGACGCAGCTATTACAGGAAGAAATTGAAATTGCAAAAGTCCATCACATCTATCCTTGTATGTTGTATCCTGCAATTAGGGCAGACTGAGGAGTTGGTGGGAACTGCACCAGACTTTCTGGGCAGCTGTTTCCTCTCCAAGGGCAATTGATTTTATGCCCAGCATTAAGTTGTTTGGAAAAGGCTTCAACAGCATCTTCAACTTCAGCCAAAAAAATATTCCAAAAGAAAATGAATAAAACTGATGTAAAGCTAATGAATAGCCAAAAGCTTTTTGTGTAGAATACAAATAAAAATAACTAACCTTCAGAAGGGGCCCATGATGGTGATGAAACAAAATGCAAGCATGCACCACATGATTCACATGCAATTTGATCAACATCAGTATTCGTCCAACCTCTCTGAGCACAAGCCAATGAGCTAGTAACCTGCAATGAACTCAAGCAGTTCAAAGTCATAACATTTTATTAAGAACATTCCATATTTCCAATTTTCCATGGCAATATAGCCAATAAGGGACTCCTATATGCTTTTTTGGAAGGTAAACAGTTTCTTATGCACAAAACATCACAAGCCTTCCGTCAGAAAAA